GTTTGCAAATGATTTCGAAAAATTTATAAGCGTTTTCGAAAGAGTTAAAATTTGCGAAAAATTGGCCCTAGTTAGCGGGGTGTTGAAATAGCCACTGTCGCCGTCGTGTAATGCCAGATTTAGAGAGCTTTGGCCCACTGGATGCGGAAAATCGTGGCCAACAACATCACCTCCTTCGTAGAGAGGGTCGCCGTTTTTAGGAGGGTCCGGTTGCCGGCAAATCGTGACCTGTTGGCAAGCTCCAGTGCGTCTTAAATTTCGCCGCCGCATCCGTCCAAAAATGTCGTTGTTATCGTCACCGCCGTCATCGTCGTCTCTCCTTCAGTGGACCGGCGAGACGAAATCAAGATGGATTGGCCATGGACCATGAATTTTGGATTGGAGATAGGGACTGCTAATTTAAAACTTTTAATATATTATAATTAAAGTCTTGGGGCAAACTTGTAGTTTTTAAAAGTTTGATGCATTCATTAATAAATATTATATATGTTTTTTATCAAAGAGGATCTTCTACTACAAATTCACTACTGTCATGGCTCTATAACTACCTTCGTAGGCGGGCTGCGAATGTTTGCTTGAAAACTAGTAGAGGTATATATTATATTAAATAACTGAATACATTAAATACAACTAATTCAAAAATTTAAAAATAGTGTAAAATAATAAATAAAATTTTTGAAATAAAATAATATTTTTTTATAATAAAAATAATAATATATTTTGATTATTTGGATAAATTGAGTTAAATCAGTTCAGTTACTTTAGATTTGCATATTAAAAAACCAACATAGCATACTGCACAATAGTGTTATCAAAGATGCATATTAGTAACTATCATAATTAACAATATTGTTAGGCCGAATGCAAACTAACTCATTCGAGAATGCACAAAAGCGTAATAGTGTGCATTTTTTCACGAATATTAAAATCATGGTTATTTAAATCTGATTTTTTTCTTTACTGGAAACAAAAAACAAAATAATTGATCGAAATATATAAAATATATTATTTTTATTTTATCTATATATATCTTCAACCACCAATAATTATAAAAATTATAAATACTAAATATATTTTATCATATAATGCTATAAATGCATATTTTTGCAATTATAAATACTAAATATATTTTATTTTATAAAGTTAATGTGTAATTTATAAACAATTTAATAAATTTGTAATTAATGTGCATATTCAAATTCGGATTTAGGGTTTCATTGACTCTTTTTTTAGAAATTAGATATTATTGAGGTACAATTTTTTAATTTTATCAATTTTGAGTATTTTAAATTTAGTTCATGACCAAATATATAATTAATATCGATATTCTCATAAATGCATATTAATAATAAATAAAATGTACAATGTTTAAAATTTTTAATATGCATGATTTTATTATATAAAAAATAATAAACTCATAAATATACTTTTATAATAATAAATAATAAATATTCTATATATATATAATAAGAATTAACATTTACCAAAAATAGTAGCAAAAAAATAGGTCAGAATTGCAATCTATAAATAGTAAGTATTATTATTTTTCTTATTTTTTCTTTAAAACATACAGCATTAAATGCTACCTTAAATTTCGGGCTATAGTTCATTTTATTATTTAAAAAATCCTGCTAAGATTTATTAAGTGTGTATGTTTTTATTTTTATTTTTTTCTTAGAAACAACGAACAAAATTAAAATCTCGGTCTCTATATTTATAAAATCTCAATTCAAAATATAACAAAAGTTTTAGAATCTCGGTCTTTATATTTGTGCCTTTAAAAAAAATTGAATGCTAAAAATATTTTTTAAATTGCATAATCAATCAATTAATCTTATTTTTTGAAAATTACTATGTTTATTTTTTATTAATATGTATAAAATAAAAATAATTAATTCATCTTAAGATATATAATTTATAATCTTAATATACTATCATTCATTTGGTGTAGACATTTATTATATGAATAATAAAATATTTAAAGAAAATCAGAAAATTTTTTCGGATCAATCAGGTAATTGAATTAGGGTACTGCCCAGGTTGATTGAATTACTTTTAGATGATATTTAAAATAGTCAAAAAACTTGACACAACTTGGTTGGTCCCAGGTGACTAAGTTATGAATCAGTTCGATCACACCAAATCGATTATTGAACCTAAATATAAATTTTATATTGAAAATATTTTATTACGTGAATGTGATATATCCAAATTTCAAATAATCGTATTAACAATATTTATGTGAATAAAAAAATGTTTTATTATAATATTTATTAATGTACATTAAATATAAGGTTCTCAGAACTGGACCGTCATCAAAACGATCAAGCTATTTTATTAAATCATTTGTGATTTGTTCAGATTTTAATTTATAAACATTTTAATATATATATATATATATATATATATATATAGTATTTTTTGTAATAAATTTAAACAAAATGTGTTACTTAGATATTTAAAAAATTTATAAATTCAAATGTTTAAACTAATTGATAAATAATTTATAAATCTCTATTTTATTTAAATATGTAATTTTATTTAAAATAATTTTAAATATAATAAAATTTATTTAAAAAATCGTGTCGATCCTACAAATCCAACCGACTGGTATTGACGGATTCAAAAGCAAATATCTTATTCAAGCGAACTAGACTTGTTATAAATCGGTTCTCTGTCCATTCGGTCGGACTGTGTCTAACCCGGTTTAATGTAAAAACAATACATATATATGATTAATGTTATTTATATATTTAATTTATAATACAATCGTAATATATTTTCCCGTGCATTGTACGGGCCACGCACTAGTTTCAATAATTGAAGTTAATTCGATGCACAATTATATCTACTAAATCTAGTTTTCAAAAACACATCACGCTGCACTTTATAAAACATCAAGTTGCACCTTATAAAACAACACGTTGCACTTTATCACACCCTCCACAATTAACGTCAATAGCTCCCGCCAATATATCACACAACTGTAGATAACAAATCTACATAATACTTTAACATTCATCACATCATATGTCCATAAAACTATAAGCATGTTAATGTACCAAGCTTACAGTAGTTCACTTTATATATCATAATGTTGCACTTTATGAAACAATGTGTTGCACTTTATAAGACATCACGTTGCACTTTATCACGACTATTAGATCAGACAATATGGATCGACACTGACCGAACTCAAAATATTTCAACCGAAAATAGTATAAAAATAATAAATAAAATTATTAACATATTAAATAAAATTTAAATATAAATAATAAATTATTTCGATAATTTAGGATAATTCGGTTAACATAATCGAATAAATCAATTAATTATGTTAATTTTCAGTTTGATTTGGGAAAACAGTTTAGTTGGTTCAGTCTGCACAATACAGACCGAAAATATGCACCATAGTGTTGAACGAATTGCGCCGTATAACTGTTAGGTTGTATAGTATATTTCGTTACCCATATACTAAAATGATCGGTTCGAAATTTGTATACTATAAAAATTTAATTATTATTTTAATTTTTTATTTATTATTTTATATTATTTTTATATTAATTTAATATTTTACAACAATTTTATTTACTATTTTTTATTTATTATTTTATATATATGTGTGTGTGAATTAAAGAAAAATATTCAAAAGAGCTGCGAAATGAAATGTGGTGACTGGTGAATATGCTTCCATATATAATATTTTTTTATGCCTTTTAAAAATTATAGATTTAACCCATAGGCAAAATTGAAATATAATTAAAATTCTTAAAATTACATTTAGGTTCTCAAACAATATCAAATTTTCAAAAACATGACCCCCAATTCACTAAACCAGTTGGTGGTCCTCCGATCGTCGGTAGCTGCGTCCGAGCCGCCGGTGAACCTCTCGGCCATTGTTTTCTATACTAAGCCCTCTCTGGTTATCGATTTCATCATTTCTCTGGCCCGAATTTGTATCTCTGGCGACTTCGTGTCTTCGTCATCTCTGGTCATAGACCTCGACCTCCGTATAAGCAGGTCTTCTGTTTGAGCATCTCGTCGACGATGTAGAGGAGATTGCCTGGTTCGTCTCCAATGGCAATTTCCGGCGACTACAAAGAGGAGCAACGCAGCTCAATTTTTGGCAGATGAAGGCGGCGGCGGCTTATGAGCTGACTGTGGAAGGCGGTCCGGTTGCCCCATTGCGGCGGCAGGAGGCACGAGTTTGCTGTGCAGTAGCGGCAAACTCCATGTCCGACGGCGGAGCTCCCGTTGGCCGCTTCTATGGTGGTCGATGGCGGAGCTGAGTTCTCCAATGTGGCCGTTGTCGGCGATGTTGATGTGGCTGCAGACGCCGGCGACTGTGTGAGGTGTCGGAGGAGACTCTTTTTGTTGCAGGTGAGTTTGCGTGTGTGATTGTGGTGTGTGTGTGTGAGAGAGAGAGAGAGAGAGAGACAAGAGAGTGAGAAAGACGGGTGGGAGGTGTAGTTGGAATTTATTATGTGTGGGGCCCACTGAATTGGTAGCATGAAAATTACTCAACTGCCCTTGAAGGTATTTATTTTATCAAGGATGAACACATATTTACAATTTTTCCACAGTAGGTTTGACCAATGTTAATCAATTTTGATTCCATCAGGTCCATTGATATGTTGAATCTAATGGTCCACAATCATTCTTATTTCTTTCACTATCTCTCTTTCTCATATAATTCCTTCTCTCTCTCTCTCTCTATATATATATATATATGTATATATATATAGGGAATGGTTTCAATGCATCCACTTATTTAAAGTGAGGACGTAAGACTCATTTTTAGCCACAAGATTTGGTACATATCATGTGTGGCCATGATTTACTCTTTTCTTTTTATTATTTTAATTATTTAAATATTATTTTGACCCGTTGACTCCGGCGTTGACCGTTGACTCCAGCGTTGACCGTTGACTTCCGGTGTTGACTTTCGGCGTTGACAGTTGACAACTAACCTTCCAACTAGGTTAGTTCTCTGTAGTTTCTAGGTTAGTTCTCTGTAGTTGCTAGGTTTTTTTTTTTTTTTGAACAAACAACGCCCCGGAAGGGCGGGGGATTGGGCTGGATCCCCTACCTGTGCATAGATCAGGGCCCCAAAAATGGGAGCCCAAAATGTCAACGAACCAGATACAGAGGTCTACATAGTCTGAAAGTCAAAAACAAAAACAAAAGAAAACAAGAAAGAAAAACCGAAAAATGAAAAAGAAACAAAAAACTACATAATAAAGTCGATCTTCGGGCTAACAGATGCCCAAGATAAGTCTATACTAATGAAAATAGAAATCCTATACTAGTGAAAGCGGAACGCTGGGTATCCAAGCTGGTCCATCCGAACAAGCGTGCGAAGGCGGAGTGGAGCAGTGTCTGTCTGGAACGTATGTGTATCGGGTATGGTGGCACCAAGGCTGGCAAGGTAGTCAGCAGGTCTGTTCCCCTCACGAAAAATATGCGTAATCCTGTGATGGACTGACCGAAGTAGATGTCTAATGCGCATAAGCGGGTGCTGGATCTGCCACGAGCCCTGATGGCCCGAAGTCAGGAGGGTGGCGACAGCCGCAGCATCCAGCTCGATCCATATATGACTAGAGATGTGGGCAGCTATCTGAAGGCCAATCTGTAGTGCCTGAATCTCTGCGTCATAGCTCGAGGAGGCCTGAATGGACGCGTGAAATGCGGTGATGAGGGCGCCGCTATGGTCCCGAATCAAGCCTCCTCCTCCGACAACTCCAGTGTGGCGATCGAAGGAGCCATCAGTGTTCAGCTTGACCCACGGAGAGTCAGGTCGAAGCCAAACAACAGCTCTGGCCCGAGGAGTCCGAACAGGCGGTGGTGGGGCCACCATGTAGCGCTGCGGTGGCGTGCAGCCTGTCCAGTCTCGGGCCGTGAGCCTGCCCAACGAGATGAGGAGTGAAATGTGTCTCTCAACCTGCAAAACAATGTGAGAAAACATAAAAGTAATATCCCTATGCTTCGCACTATTCCTTTCTGTCCAGGTGAACCAAAGGATCAGACAAGGAATGAAGAAGCCCACGTGTCTAAGGTGTGTGCTATGTGAGAAAAAACTCAGGAGCTCAAAAAAACTGTATGTGGTGGGTAGGGATATATGAGTCAAAGTGGCAAAATGCTCCCACACTCTCCTCACAGTCTCACTCTCTAGAAAAAGGTGGGTAAAGGTCTCGGTCTCATGACGTCCAGTCTCAGAACAACACACACACCGGGAGGGGAAGTAGATCCCCCTCGCGTGTAGCACAGTATCGACGGGTATCCGGCGCAAGAGGAGGCGCCAAAGGAATACCGAAATAGTAGGCGTAAAAAGGTCACTCCAGATAGCCCCGAAGAGGAGATTAGGCCGATCCCTCAGCCTTATCTGCTCCCAAGCCGAGGTAGTAGAAAACACACCTGATGATGTAAGTCTCCACCTCATGCTATCTGAACCGTCCACCGAGATAGGGATCTGCTGGATCTGATCTAATAACTGCTCGCTAAAACCCGCACTAGCCCGCAACTCCCTATCAAGCTTCCCCCTATCCCACGACCTGTCCGTCCAGAGGTCGCTCACGAGCAGGTAGGGGGAACGCGACACCTGCCTGTCCCTAGACAACGGCCTATCACCTACCCACCACTCATCCCAGACACTGACATCGCCCCCACCCAAAACCCAAAAGATGTGATCCTGGACTCGCCTCCCGACCCTAGTGAGGCATCGCCACTGTCTGCTATCATGATCAACAGCCGTGACCCAACAAGGGTGGTTGGCACGTCTAGGGCAGTACTTGCCGCGAAGGTACTGAGCCCAAAGCGACTTTCCTTCCCTGAAGCGCCACCACAACTTGTATGAGAAAGCTGTAACAATGTCCCTGAGGCGGCGGATGCCAAGGCCACCCTCGGGGAGGGGGCGACAGATAGAGTCCCAACTCACCCAGTGAGTACGTCTCCCCCTCCCAGACCCGTCCTCATACCCGCAGAAATAACGAGCCATAATCTGGTCAAGCTCGTCAAGAGTAGACCTAGGGGGGTCGAGGACCATAAGCAAGTGAATCGGAAGAGAGCTAAGAGTGCTCTTGATCAGCGCTAGCCGACCACCAAAAGAAAGATATCTATGCGACCAACCAGAGATCCTGTCGACCATCCTCTGCCTGACGCCCGCAAAGAGCGCTCTCGTGAGGTTGCCCTTATATAAAGGGACCCCGAGGTAAGTAATGGGAAGGTCGCCACGCGCAAAGCCAGTAATGTCGTGGACCCGCTGAGCCCACCTGTCCACGGTGGCAGATGAGAGGATGAATGTGCTCTTCTGCTCACTCACCAGCTGACCGGTGACCGAGCCATAGTGCTCCAAAAGGTGCATAAGCTCGACCAGTCCATCATCATCCGCCCGGGTGAAGATAATGATGTCATCCGCGTAAGAGAGGTGAGAGACGGTAGGACCATAGCCACAGGTGCTATAGGTCATGTGGGGAGAGTCGCAGATGAAGCCGTCAAGGCAGCGAGAGAGGTAGTCCGCCGCAAGAACGAAGAGGGAAGGGGAAAGGGGGTCGCCCTGTCTAAGGCCTCTAGAGGAGGGAAAGAAATCGGTGGGGCTGCCATTAATCAGGACCGAGAACGTGCAATGCTCCACACACGCCTCCACAAAGCTGATCCAACGCTCAGGGAATCCCATCCTAGCCAACGCCTCCCTAAGAAACGGCCACTCAACCCTATCATACGCCTTAGCCATGTCTAGCTTCAGCGCGATATTCGGAGCCCGCTTCCAGTCCGCTCGATAGATGTCGTGGATCATTTCCTGGGCCAGAAGGATGTTATCACTAATTACCCGATCCTTGACGAATCCACTCTGGTTCGGAGAGATGAGAAAGGGGAGAAGAGGGGAAAGACGGCCGTTAAGAATCTTCGAAATGAGCTTGTTAGTCATGTTACACAGGCTGATGGGCCTGTAATCGGACCAAGAGCTCGGGTTGGGTCGTTTCGGGATCAAGACGACAGAGGTAGACGTGAAGGAGTCCGGCATCCGGTGGCCGGAGAAAAAATCCAACATCGCCTCCTGGACGTCAGTCTCGACAATATCCCAGCAGACCTGATAGTAGAGGGAGGAGAAACCATCCGGGCCAGAAACGCTGTTGGGATCAATCCCGAATACAGCATCCCTAACCTCCTCCCTGCTCGGGAGCTCACAGAGGCCAATGAGATCGACCGAAGGAGGGATGGTGGGGAAAAAAGAAGCGTTCGGGGCCACGAGGGACCCTCTGTCAGAGGTGAAGAGGGTCTGGAAGTGAGCAACAGCCGACTCCCGAATCTGAGCCTCCTGGGTCAAGGATGACCCATCAGCCTCGATACTATGGATGTACGACTTAGCACGCTTCTGCCTAACGTAGCCCTGGAAGAACCTAGTGTTCCGCTCACCCTCGGCCACCCAGCGAACGGCCGCCTTCTGCTTCCAGAAGTCCTCCTCCATAAGGAGTCGGAGCTGGTTCTCGGCATGGCAGCGGTGCATGGCAGTCCTATTCTCCGGAGTGGGATCCAGGTCATAGGCCCGCTCAGCCGTCGCATGCACACTCTGAGCCGCAGCAAGGCGCTGATGAAGGTTTCCAAAAACATCCCAGTTCCACTGTCTCAACCGACGCCGCAGTCTGCCGAGCTTTGCCTCGAGATTGCGCATCCCGAGGAGCCCAGTCGGCTGAAGCCAGGAATCCCTGACAGTGTCGTGGAAGGAGTGGTGGCGAACCCACATGTTTTGGAACCTAAACGAAGAGCATCGGCTGGTGTGTGACGGTCGTAAGGTGTGTGACGGTCGTAACCGCAAACACCTTCGACCATGCCTCAGAAACTAAGGCACGGTCTAACCTCTCTTTGAGTCCGTCCCTCACCCACGTGAAGGGCTCACCATCACATCCAGCGTCAATTAACTCGCAGTCCGCCACCGCCTGAGCAAAATCCCACATCTCCCGTGACCGGTCCGTGCGGCCACCCACACGCTCATCGGGATGCAGAAAGATGTTGAAATCGCCACTAACCTTCCATGGCAATCCCTCCATATTTTCGGCAATCTCACGCAGGGTGTCCTAAAGGTCATATCGCCCGACCCTAGTACACCTGGCATAAACCAAGGTGTGAAAGATGGGCCCCGGGAGGTGGTCAGCTGAAATCTCTACGTGAAGCACCTGATCGGTATCGCGGAGGACCCGACAAGTGTAGTCACGCGAGTGGAAGAACCAGATCTTGTGCGAAATATTACCTACGCCCGAATGGAAGCCCAGACGACGCGAGTAGTAGTCAAAAG